TACCTGGAGAGAGCACAGCATGTCTCCACCCCTTCCCATAAGCCCTGCCCTCTGCCCCTTATCTATATCCTTTGTGATTAATTCGTAAGTGTTAGTATTTCCCTGGGTTCTTAGCAACTTGATGGTACCCAAACCTGGAGCTTGTGCTTGGCATCAAAAGAGAAGGGGGTTGTCTTGAAGACCAAGACTACACAGATTGAATTGAATTTGTGGACACCCTGCTGTGATCCACTGCAAAATTAATTTCTTGCCTAGTGTGTGCATCTGGTGTTTGAAGAGTTTATGGGGAGAAACTGCATTTGAAGTCAGCTTTTCCCTGTATCCCCATAAAAAGGGTTTTGTTCGTTTGTTTTTGGAGACAGGGTTTCACTGTGTAGACCAGGCTGGCCTCGGAGTCACAGAGATCTGCTTGCCTCTGCCTTCCAAGTGCTAGAATTAAGGGAGTGTGCCACCACTGCCTGGCTCAGAAAAGATTTTAATTTATTTGCAAGAGTTTGTGCTGAGGATGTAGTTCAGTGATAGAGAGATTGGCTAGCATTCCTAGGGTCCTGGGTTCAATTCCAAAACACACACACTCATGCATGAGCACTTGCACACACATACACACACATGCACTTGCACGCATGCACACACTCACTCACCTAACGAAAAATTGCATTTAAAACTTCAACAAGGGGGCTGGAGAGTCAATGGTGAAAAGAACTCAGTGCTTTCTCACGCCTTTAGTCCCAGCACTCGGGAGGCAGAGGCAGGTGCATCTTTGTGAGTTGAGGCCAGCCTGGTCTACACAGTGAGTTCCAGGACAGCCAGAGTGACACAAAGAAACCCTGGGGGGGGGCAGGAAAGGACTTCAGTTCTCTCCTCCCACAAGCATATGTAAGTAGTGAGGCCCACTGTATAAGTAGGGAGATGCTCTTAGATAAGAATCTGCCTAAAAGAGATCAGCTGACCTGCTGGGAAGGACCCTCTCCAACTCGCCGAGAGGACAGAATACCGTGCTGTATGTTCCAGGTTGATCTGTCGCTCATGGTGAAGTAGGATTTTAGTGATGCAGCTATCAGTCATTTCGGTACCTGGAAGTAACCTTTCACCCACATTCCTGTAAACCTCGCTTCCTCAGGTTGGCTAGATTAAACAGTAATGCCTGCTCTCTAGTCAGGAACATTGAGAGGTGTTGAGGAAACAAGATGTGCATCAGTTATATGTTGCGATTTTCAGGAGGTGGGAGCATCTGTCTTCATTGACTAATTATTTACCCACTTTTGAGACATAATCTCCCTGTGGATCCCAGGCTGGCTTGGATTCTCAATCGGTCTGCAACAATGTCTTCAGTGCTGGGATCAAAGGTCACCATGTCCCGCCTCTCTCTTTCTGGCCTTGAAAAGCTTTAAAGTCTTCTGCAGGAGAATACTTGAAAATAGGACAGTAAAGCAGATTCATTGGATAAAGCGGATGACCTGCGCTCCATCCCTGGTATCCACATGGTGGAAGGAGATAACAGATTCCTAGTAAGCTTTCCTCTGACCTCATGTGCTGAGGCATGGCCTTCCCCTCCCTACCACACACCAGAAAATGTGAATAAAATATAAAAAAGACTGTAAGAAAGCTAAGTGCTTTTGGCCAGAGCTGCCATCTTCCAGTAATTTGACAATGTTAAGTTTCAGACCCAGGACAAATGGCTGAGGTGTCTATTTAACATATTTAAAGCAGACCTGGCTGCCACATTCTCCCAGCATTCCCCAGTCCCTACCTGGTGTAGGACATGGCTCCTATACCCCACCTCCTACCTGAACTCTCCAGCCCAGGGGCTGGGCCGCCCTTCCCCCAGAGGCTCTTCCCTATATAATGCAGACATTCTGGCTACCCACCCTGTTTGGACCTTTGGCCTCCTGCGGCTGCTCCTGGTTCCTCTCTCCCCTCATCCTTCCCCTCCTGCTCTCCTCACATGGCCCAGCTCAGGCAGTCAGGTCCACACGGGACTCTCCCAGATGTCCCTGGCTCTGACTGTGCTCTCCCTTTTATCTACAATAAACTTTCTCCTCCACCATAGCTAGGAGTCATCATGTCCTTTCCTTTTTGTTTTTATTTTTTCAGACAAAGTATCTCCCAGTGAAAGAGAGGGAGGCCCTAATAGCACTCACTGAGCTTCTTAAATGATATGTGCCTGCATTTACAAGAAGAATCATACTGCAGACATCAAACACGTATGGGTCAAATGTCGCCATGGCAGAGTCAACACTGCCCCCAGTGCTAGCAGCATTGTAAACAAGCAAATTGGGGACCAGATTCTGAGAGAATGAACGTGTCTACTGAGCCTGATCTGAAATGACTTCCTGAAACGGTAAGGAAAACAAACAACAGAGAAGGTTCCAGGCTCTTGCTGAAGCACCAGCCGGCTCCACCCAGCGCAGTGAGCAAGTGAGCACTGTGAGAGCTATCAGGAGCCCATTCCATGTGAAGTCATGGAGTGAAAGGTGAAAATAAAAGGCCTCAGCTGTAAAGGTATTTTTCTTTTCTTCATTAAAGATTTGAGTATTTTTATTTGGAGTGTAGGTGTGTGTGTGTGTGTGTGTATGTCAGAAGAGGGCATCAGATCCCCTGGAACTGGAGTTAGAGACAGCTGTTAGCCACTGTGGGTGCTGTGAACCAAAGCCTGGTCCCCTGCAACAACAGAAAGTGCTGCTGAGCCATCTTCCTAGCCCCAAAACTGATTTTCTTTATTTGGTGGAACTGTAGTCTCCTCTGCCCTCCACACACAAATACTTAAAAAAGAAAACCAGGGGTGTGACAGTAAAAATGACAGGGTAATGACGCATGCAGAGTGATGGAAGAGACAGGCTGGCATCGGCACAAAGCGGCTCTGAGGTATACTGGTTTTGTGACACAAGCTAGAGTCATCTGGAAAGAACCTCAGCCGAGGAAATGCCTCCATAAAACCTAGCTGTAAAGCTGGGCAGTGGTGGCACATGCCTTTAATCACAGCACTCAGGAGGCAGAGGCAGGTGGATCTGAGTTCGAGGCCAGCCTGGTCTACAGAGTCAGTTATAGGACAGCCAAGGCAGTACAGAGAAACCCTGTCTCAACAAACAAACAAACACAGAGTTGTGGTGTCTCTTCACATCAACAGAAACCCTAAGACAGAGAAATAAATAGATAAATAAGAAAAGAGGGGGAGAAAACCCCAACAAACTCATTCTGTAGTTAAGACTGGCCTTGAATTCCTGATTCCCCTGCCTCTATACCAGAAGTGTTGGCATAACAGGCTTGTATCACCACACTTGGTTTGAGCCTAAGACTTGACAAATGTTAGCACACACATTCCATCAATAGAACTGTATTCCCTAGCCTGATTCTGTCAAAATCATGTCTTGCCATGTATCCCTGTCTGGACTGACCCTTGACATGTAGCCCAGTGTGGTCTCAAGTGCTTAGCAGCCTTCCTGCCGAGCCTTCTGAATGCTGAGATTACAGGTGTGCCCTATCATCCAGCTTCGCCACCGTTTGCCTTATGAGACAGGATCTCAGACTGGCCCCAAACTTGCTTCAAGATGACCATGACTATCACAAGATGGCCTTGAACAATCTTACTGCTTCTACTTCCCAAATACCATCACCGGTGTGTTCCACCAAGCCCCGCCTTCACCAGCTCTCAGCTTTTTGGCTTTTGTTTATTTTGAAGCCAGGTCTGCTTACATAGGCCTGGCTGTCCTTGAATTTACAGGCAGGGATCCACCTGCCTCACCCTCCAGAGTACTGTGCTACCATGTCAGCTTCTTCCTTCCTTCCTTCCTTCCTTCCTTCCTTCCTTCCTTCCTTCCTTCCTTCCAAGATAGGGTTTCTCTGTAGTTTTGGCACCTGTCCTGGAACTAGCTCTTGTAGGCCAGGCTGGCCTTGAACTCACAGAGATCCTCCTGCCTCTGCCTCCCAAGAACTGGGATTAAAGGCTTGTGCCACCACCGTCTGGCCTTTGCTTTCTTTTGGTAGATTGTTTCCAGTATTTGTGGCACCCTGTGTTCTGCTTGCTTGTAGGCGAACTGAGTCTACACTGCTCTCTGAGATTGGACGAGGCATGTTAAAGGGATTAAAAACTGGCCGAAGCTGAATTCTGTTCTCCTAAAATAACACAAGCAAAAACGGGGTAAAGGAGGGCTGGGGCCTCCTGCAGATCAGGGAAGAGTTTTCATCTAGTATTTTCATGGTCTTCAATTCCATCACTAGCAACACACACACACACACACACACACTCAAGTTAAATGAAATTACACCTCTTTTCTAGTTACATGAAAAAAAAGCACTGTGCATTTATTTATTTTTTATTCTTTTTCATTATTATTTTTGAGACAGTATCTCTCTGTATAGTCCTGGCTGGTCTGGAATTTTCCATGTAGACCAGGCTAGCCTCGAACTCAGAGATACAACTGCCTCTACCTCTGGAGTGCTGGGATTAAAGGGCATTTGCCCCCAGGCCCAGCCTGTTGTGCATTTATTAAAACAACATGTAACACAAACTCAGTCCTCTCCCCTTGTTTGGGGATGGGCACTGAAATACAGTACATTGCCCCTTTCTAGGCCTTTGAGTGAGACCCAGCCCTCCCACCAAGGAAGGGAAGTGGGCAACTCTATTAGCTTTGCTTCCTTCCCTCTTTGTGACAATCGCCAGTCACACAATGACCAGGCGTGATCATACAAAAGTTCTCATACAAAAAGCACCAACTTGGCATACATAGAAGGGTATATACAAAAATCACATTTTAAAAACATACAAAATATTTCATTTTTCACCAAAGTAGAAAAGTGTCCTGTGACATTTAGAGTATGTTTCCAATCGTGTTTGAGCAGCTGCTGGACACAGCGTTGGAGAGTCCTACTCTAGTCCCTGCTCTCTGAGCAGAGAGAAGACACACTTCCCCACTGTGCCCACCCCCCAGGAGCCCCAAGCCCCAGCCCTCTCCTGAGATGGGCCTGTCACCATCCTCCCCAGTCTGCATCCAGAGGGTGGCTATTTCTTGAGCTCCTCAATGGTGTCCTGGAAGAGAAAGTCAGACACAGGCTCATGGTGAGACACAGACTCAAGAGGACCCAGTCCAGAGCTATGGTAACAACACCACCTCCAACCTGCTCTTTCTTAAGAGCCAAACTAGAATTTAGCTGTCAGATGGCTTAGAGCAGGGCTTCTCAACCTTCCTAATACAATGACCTCTAACACGTTCCTCATGTGGTGACCACCAACCATAAAAAATTTCATAACTGCAATTTTGCTGCTGTTATGAATGAATCATAATGTAAATATCTGCATCTTCTGATGGTTTTAGGCAACCCCTGTGAAAGGGTCGTTTGATTCCCTTTTCACGGAAAGGGGTCATGGCTCACAGGCTGAGAACCACTGTCTTAGATTCTTCAGAGTTAGCTACTTTAGCTGGATTGGAATTTGCCTCCATTAATTGGGCTTGAACACTAACTGGGTATAGGGCAACATGCCTTTGAGGCCAGCCATTAACAAAAAGGAGGAGGTGGCAGAGGAGGAAGGGACGGCAGCTGGGAATTGGCTTGGTGGGTGGGTCCCAGAGTTCAGACCCCCAGCACCCACCCAAAGAAAGGCTGTGGTAGTCCCTGTGATTGCAGAGCCCAGAAGACGGGAAAAGGGACCCCTGGACAACTTGGCTAGCTAGACTAGCAAATCCATGAACTTTGGGTTCAATTAAGAGACCCTGCCTCAGGGAATATAGTGGAGAGCGATCAAGAAGACCCTCAATGTCAGCCTTGGACGTCTTCATGGACACCCCTGATCACACACATGTGCAAACATGTATATATGCATGCATACCTCAGATGTACAGAAAAAGGGACCAAAATAACAGTAAACGCTAAACACGCCCTGAGAATATGTAGCCTGGCACCCCTGTCATTGGTGGCGCAAAGGCAGAGAAAGGTTCTTACCTTCTTTCCCCTCTGTGGACACGCCCTCTCGCTGATCCTCCTCCTCTTCAATAAACTCCTCCTCATCCTCATCTGTGACAAGACCAATTGTTTTAAAATGGGATTGGCTTCTCAGAGCAACTATTAGAAGACTGGCCCTGGGCTCAGCTGAGTACTAGAAGCAGCAGGGACCTAGGAGGTACTGGGCTTGTAGGACCCCAGATCACAGAGTCCAGCCCACATGCCGCCTGCCTCCTCCCTCCAGATCACAGTCCTTCATCACTGGTGTGTCTGTGTCCTCAGGGATGCTGGAGGCACATTTAGGGTTCTGTGCATGTCAGTGAAACACACACATTACGAAGAAGAAGCTGGGCAAACATCTCCTGTCCTTCCTGATCAGAGTCCTTGGCTTTAAGGAATTTGCTCGGCCTTTGAAGTCAGCTTGCTCAGCATCTTGCTGTTTGCCTCAGTCCACAGTCCACAGAGAGGCAGTCTCGGGGTGGTCTGGGGGTTTCTGCTCAGAACAGTGTCCCCCCAAACCCCAGGTGCAACCTGGGTCCTCACTTTCTCATCCTGGGATGTGACCTTCAAACTTTCCTAGCCCCCACTTCCAGGCCTTAGGGAATAAGAGTCAGCATTTGTCAAGCATATTTACAAAGCAGAGCATGATTATGAAGGGTGTACAGGCCTTCAACGTGTTATGTTTATACAGTACAATCTGCTCCAACTCACCATCTTTCTGCCTCAACTTCCCAGGTTCTAAGACTCCAAGCCTGAACTAACAAACAGCCCTTAGTTTTTAGTCAAAAACAAAAAATCAAAAACCTCAAGAGAAGCGCAGAAAGCTGGCTCAGTGGGAGAGCACCCAGGAGACACCGAGGTACCCAGAGTCTCACAGATAGCATAAATAGCACACAATGGCAGAGGGTGACACCGAGGTACCCAGAGTCTCACAGATAGCATAAATAGCACACAATGGCAGAATCGGGATTTGAAGTTAGATTTGGATTCACAAATAATTTTTTTTTTTTTTTTTTTGAGACAGGGTTTCTCTCTGTAGCTTTGGAGCCTATCCTGGCACTTGCAGACCAGGCTGGCCTTGAACTCACAGATATCTGCCTGCCTCTACCTCCCAGGTGCTAGGATTAAAGGCATGCGCCACCACTGCCTGGCTTCGCAAATAATTTATTGAGCAACAATTATGTAGCAGGCACTGTGCTAGGCTCCAGATTCATCCCAAATTTGACAGTGTAGCCACAAATGGTGGCACACACCTTTAATCCCAGCGAGGCATAGGCAGAGCTCTGTGAGTTCCAGGCCAGCTTGGTCTGCTTAAAGAATTCTAGGACAGCCAGGGCTCTATGGAGAGACCCTGCAGAAACTGACTGTGTAAATTTGGTGTTTTTAGTGGATCTGCCTACCATCAGGACTCAGAGGACTGCTGCCTTCAAAGGTCAAGCAGGTGTGCGAGCAAGTAGCGTTACCATGTCCTTTACCTGTTCCAAAGTCGATGGCCCTTAGGGCTTCTGCTATGTGTTCCAAATCCAGAGTAAAGTAGTCCATGTTTTCAAAGCCCTGCTCTGTCTTCCCCAGCTGGCAGCCCTTGGAAGCTTCCACAATACTAAGGGGAGAAAGAGAAAGACAGGGTAAGGTCCCAGGGCTCCATGCAGGAAGGGACAGCTCAGCCTCCACTCTGTGCGGGTCTGTCCCAGCCCCGTTGTCCATCCCTGAAGTGATAGGGGATGAAGACGTAGAGAATGTTTCTTCTCCAGGGTAAAGCAGAGTGGATGACTCAAGAAAGTAGGGGACATGAGCTGGGGATGAGCCCTAAGGCCTGAAGAACTAATGCACAGTGTCCCACTGGGCAAGTGTCGGAATTCATTGGGAACTAAGGACTTGGGCGGCAGTTCCAGAGACACTAACCTCTTGATGAGTTGCTTGGCACTCTGTGGGGAGAAAGAGCAGAGGTTAGGAGACATAAAACAGTGACCTCCTGAGTGTACACTCAGGTACCGTTCCATGGTACAGTTGTAACTTGATTCCTGCCCTGTTAGGCAGAACTTGGACATTTCCTCGCTGTCTCTGGTCAGCACAGGTCTTGGCCAGCATGCACCCACAATCTGCTTCCGCTGTTGTGGCAAGAAGTCAGGGTTCTGGGACCAAGCCACTCACAATGTCTGAAGTCTCCTGGATGAGAGTCAATCAGACCTCCTTTTCAGACCCATGGTCTGGACAAATGAGAAGCTGGCCCAGGAGAAAAGCTGAGAGCATGGGTTTTGGGTACTGTAGTTCTTTGTTTTAAAATTTTTCCTTTGTATGTATGTGTGCCTGTGTGAGTTTATGTGCACCACACGTGTGCAGCAGCCTTTGGAGGCCAGAAAGGGGTGTCAGATTCCCCTGGGACTGGAATTGTAGGTTGGTGTGACTGTCGGACGTGGGTGCTGGGAACCTAACTCAAGTCCTCTGAAAGAGCAGTTATCACTCGTGACCCCTGAGTCATCAACCCTCTAGACCTTTGGGTTTTGCTGTTGTTGAAAAGATCTGTTTGTTTTTGTTTTATGTGTATGTATGAGTACCTGCATACATGTACGTACATGCATCATGGATGGTTGGTTGTAAGCTACCATGTAGGTGCTAGGAACAGAATCCAGGTCCTTTGTAAGAACAAAAAGTGTTCTTTCTTTCTTTCTTTCTTTCTTTCTTTCTTTCTTTCCTTCCTTCCTTCCTTCCTTCCTTCCTTCCTTCCTTCCTTCCTTCCTTTCATGCCTTTTCTTTTCATCTTTTGAGACACGGTCTCTCTATGATGTAATTGGCTGTCCTGGAATTTGCTCTGTAGACCTGGCTGGCCTCAAACTCAAAGAAATTAGCCTGCCTCTGACTCCCCAATGCTGCAGCACAAAGAATGTTCTTAACCACAGGGCCATCTATTTTTTAATGTGTTTGTTTATTTTGAGACAGAGTTTCACTATGCAGTCTTGGTTGGCCTAGAGCTCCCTATATAGATCAGACTAGCCTCAAACTCACAGAGATCCTCCTGCCTCTGCCCATGTCTCCTTCTGCTTCTGCCTGTGTCTTACAAGTGCTAGGATCAAAGTCATGAGCCACCAAGCCTACCCTGGCATGTTTTATTCTGAGATAACATTCTACCTGGTTTCCCTTCAACTTGCAATTCCCGAGTCTCACCATCTCAAGTGTTAGGATTACAGGCATGAGCTACTATGCCTGGCATCTCACCAAGATTTAAAAGACCTGTTGAAGGGTTAAGGAAAAGTTCAAATCCTCCCAGACCTTCCAGGTGCCACTCACCAAGAGGAAGGTGGCCCCTCCAGGCTCATCCAGGGACTGGATGGCTGTTTCCACAAGCTTGGTGGACTTTTCCAGTTGCTCTCGGTACTGGAGGATCAGGGCCTCGATGAAACCCAGCTTCTCCTCCTGTTCCTGCGTGATCCGCTGCAGCAACTCGCTCTTCTTCTCATCCAAGATGGCGTAGAGGGTGTCAAACTTCTGGCTCAGCTCCTCCTTCACCTGGTGGCTGTTTTCCTGAGGACGGAAATCCTACAGTCTCATCTCAAGAGGTCCCAACCCACTTTTGAGACAGAAGGGCCCAAGAACCAGTCATCTGCGTGGAGAAGAGAGACTATCAAGTCCTCACCGCACAGGAGGCAAAGCTAAGGGAAGAACACGCCTGCACAAAGGTGGTGCAACTCAGCGAGACTTTGTCTCAATAAAAAAAAGTAGATGGGTTGGCAGTGGCACTTTTCAGAATGGGACAACCACTAAAGGGACCACAATGCTGTCCCTTCCCACACGCTGTCCACTTTGCAGTTACGATGTCCTCCCCCCTTACCAGCTCCAACCCTTCCTCAAGAAGAGACCAGATTATTCTTCTTTTTGGAGACAGGCTCTCACTGTGTACCCCTGGCTGTCCTGGAACTCACTCTGTAGATCAGGCTAGCCTTGAACTCACAGAGATCCACCTGCCTCTGCCTCCCAAGTGCTGGAATTAGAGGTGTGTGCCACTGCATCCAGGAAGAGCAGAATTTTGAATACTCTTCCAGGAATGGGAAAGCTTCCTTCATTTCTTTTATCTTTCTCCTCTTCTTATTCTTTTTGTTTGTTTTTGACAGTTTCATGTGGGCCAGACTGGCCTCAACCTCATTGTGAGTAGGAGGATGACCTTGCCTTCTGCTTGCCTTCATCTCCCAAATGCTGATATTACAGATGTGGCATCACATCACCTCTGCCTTCTGTAGTCTGTGGAACCAACAGCCTGCCAAAACTCATTAGAAATGCAAAGTTTCAGCCAGGTACATTGCTATAATCCCAGCACTTGGAAGGTAGAGCTAGGAGAATCAGGAGTTCAAAGCCAACCTAGATTACATAATAAACGCAAAGTCATCCTGCTCTACACAAAACCTTGTCTCAAATCAAAGATAGGGAGAAAGAAAATAAGACAGACAGATAGACAGAAAGAGGGCTGGGGAGATGGCTTAGTGGTTACAAGCACTGGCTGCTCTCCCAGAGGACCCTCGTTCAATTCCCAGCACCCACATGGTGGCTCACAACCACCTGTAACTCCAGTTCTGGGGGATCCAGCTCCCTCTTCTGGCCTCCTCAGGCACTCACACACTTGGCAAAACACCTGGCTGGCTGGGTGGTGTCAGCACACTAGGGAGGCAGAGGAAGACAGATCTCTGTGAGTTCGAGGCCAGCCTAGTCTGCAGGGTGAGTTCCAGGACAGGCTCCAAAGCTACAGAGAAACCCTGTCTCAAAAAACCAAAACCAAGACCAAAAAAAAAAAAAAAAAAAACCACTCCTATACATTAAAAATAATAGTAATAATAAGTAAAGAAGTGGGGAATCCCATTTCATTTCCAATCCCCTGAATCAGAACCTGAGTTTCCATAGGGTCAAGTGTGAACTTTTAAAGGTCCAGGAACCTTGCTCTGCAGCAAAATGACTGATGCTAGAGACATTCAGGGAGTTGGTGGATCCCTGCAGTCAGGGACCAACAGGGTCAGGCTTGACCTTGGGCGGAGTCTGACACAGCTGCTGTGTTCACAAACTATTTGCCGAGTGAGTGGACGAATGGCTGTACCCCTTTCCTGCCATCTGTACTGGGCACCCCAGGCCCCAAACCCCAACCTGCACTCACAACTCAGGCCTTCCCCAGAGACCAGCTGTGCTTGAGGTGTCCGCCTGGCCTCACCAGAGACAGGGCCACTCAGAACCCTCACCTTGGTCACTCGGCAGGAGTCCTCCAGCTGTGAGATGATAGTCTGCACTCGGTCATTCCCTGCTACCAGCATGGAGATGCAGTTACTCAGCTCAGTCTGGATGGCAGGGGGTGAGAGGAGACAGAAATAGATTCAGAGCAGGCTGCTTTTCGGCATCATAGCAATATGTCATCCCAGCTCCCCTCTCTGATAGAGTCACTAGTAGGATTGCTATCCCTCCTTCTAGGGTAAGGTTCAGGTCTAAAGCAGAGACTGACACAGATGCTGTGTCCTTTACAGGCAGATGAGACCCAGAGAGAGAAGCTGAACACCCAAAACAGCAAGATACTGACAAAGGGACAAAAGGCAAATGTTCTTTCTTCCTTTTTCTTCGTCTTTTCCTTTTTTCTCCCTTCCTTCCTTCCTTCCTTCCTTCTTCCTTTCTTTCTTCCTCTCTCTCTCTCTCTCTCTCTCTCTCTCTCTCTCTCTCTCTCTCTCTCTCTCTCTCTCTCTCTCTCGAGACAGGGTCTTACTATGCTGGCCCAGAACTTACTATGTAGACCCATTTGACCTCAAATTCATAGAGATCCCCCTGCTTCTGCCTCATGAGTGCTAGCCTTAAAGGCCTGTGCTAGTTTCTGAGAAAAGGAATAGTATTGAAAAGTTCTAGAAGAGAAAAGCCCAAGAGCCAAGCGGCATGAGGAGAGCAGAGAGTTTAGGAAGGGTTACAGCTTACTACATAGACAGGGTTCTGGGGTTGCCAGGGCCCAGGGAAGAGCCTTCACTCTGCCTTGTGCTAGATGAGAGGCTCAGGTGGAGAGGTCTGGGACCCCAGAGTACACAGGAGGGAAAGCCATGACCTGGAAGGGCCTGGCAGCCTGGCCCTAGGGTCTGGCCTCTTCCCTGTGGCCACACCCAGGTCTTCTCAAATGGCTCTAAGTATAACCCATGAGCTCAGCCACCTCCCCCAGGGAGGCAACGGCTGCTGTCCCTGTGGCCTGGGAAGTCCCTCCAGAGGGACTATTCCTGAAAGGTCGGCTCAGCACACCCACAAGGGTCAAATCCACCCTGGGGATCATCTGGGCACAGCCGCTGTAGTCAATACCTTCTGTCCCTGGAAGATGTTTTGCAGGGGGGCTACCTCACAGGCCTGGTGTGCCCCGAACACCTTGCACAGGGAGCAGGTTGGCACCTCACACGTGAGGCAGTAGATGTTGATTTTCTCATCTTCATGCTCCTTGCACATCGGGTGGCTGCCTTTCTGCAGGGGCCGACTGTGAGGGAGAAGAGTCACAAGTCAGTGACTTCCCCTCCCCTCGTCCCCTTGCTAACTGTCTCTTGCTAACTCCCAGCACAGGAGGCCGTCACATCCACGAGTCAGCTCCCAGAGTGTCATCCTGCTCCAAACAGTCTTTGTTTTAGCTCCTGGGAGCCTAAGATCAGGGAAGCTAATGACACCAAACCTGTTCCCAAACCCCCAAACTCAGACTCCAGCACTGGGGCTGGCCTGAGTTGGTACAGGAGACCTGGGGAGGATCCCGGAATTCTAGGGTCAGACCAGAAGATGCTGACCCTAGGGAAGAGACAGCAGAGTCCCCGAAAATGAACGGACTTGCCCAAGGTCGCCCAGCACACAGGCAGGGGAGGCGAACACCTTTGCTCTAATTATAGCCCCAAAGCTCTTGTTTGCTGGGCCTGGGCAACTTATTCTGATAGCAACTCTTATGTCTATATTTAATCTATCAGACCATAGCCTTCAACCAGGCTGGGAAGCCTGCTTGTTTTTCTCCCCAGTATCTATAACATACAGTACCTGGCGTGGAGACCATGGAAATGAAATGCAAGCAGAAAGAATACACGAGTAAACACATCCTGAGTGTGTGTAAGGGTTCAGAGAAGGGGACAGTATGTACACCCTAAGCCATACCAACAGCACATAGTGGGGGTAGAGCTGTCTAGAAGCCCAGTGCAAACCTTGACCTATGCCCCACAAAGCTCTCTTCATTTTTAATTTTAAAAATGCCTTTACTGACTATGTGTGTGTGTTGAGGGGAAATGGAACATGATGGAGGTCGGAGGACAGCTTGAAGGAGTTTATTCTCTCCTTCTACCATGTGGGTCCTGAGGGTAGAACTCAGGTTGACAGGCTTGGCAGCAAGCACCTTTACAACTTGCTGGCCCAAGAGTTTCTTCCTTCTGCCCTTCATTGCTTTCTCTGCTTGGGGTGCCTAGTACGCTCCTCTCCAACATCGGTCATTTCCCAGCATCCACTGGGGTTTTTAGGCAAGGTCTTACCACCCAATCAAGACAGAACTTACACCTCCTTAGGATAAACAGCCATGTCTATACTACCTCTGATGCCCAGCCCCTAACATGTAAGCATCTCATAAGTCTCAAATAGTGACTGTCCCCATCAGTGTCAATGTCTTACCTCCCAGCGCCCTGCATGGCTGTCACACCCCAGACTTCCCTGCCTGCTCCAGGAGTCCCTATCCAGTCTGGCTTTGTTTTTGTTTTTTATTTCATCTTTGAGTTCAGGGACCTCGAACTGTGGCTGTGGTGATACAGGTTTCCTGGTATCACCTGCTGCTCTCCCAGACCTTGGTCAAGGGCAACTGTCGTGGTCATTCACCTATCAGGGAAAAGCCTCAAAGAGTCCAAATAAAACATACTCTTCCAGGCTCTACAGCCTTGGGCTGACATTGTATACTATAAATTGCATTATTATTGTTATTACCATCACCATCATTATCATTGTCTCAGAAATAGGCATCTGTGGGCCAACAAGATGGCTCTGTAGACAAGGGTACTTGCATTGCAACATGAGGCTAGCAACCGAGTTTGATCCCTAGAATTCATGTAAAGGCAGAAGGAGAGAAAGGATTCCACAAAGTTGTCCTCTGACCTCTACACAAGGACCATGGTGTGTGTGCCTACTCCACACACTAATAAAAATAAATAATACAAATAATTTAAAATTCATATGCATGTCCTATCAGAGGGAGGGACAGGACAGGGCCTTGTATTAGAAAGAGTTCTATCATCGAGCCCTATTCCAGCCCCTTATTTTTATTATTTTACTTTCCTTTGAATCAGACTCCTGCTGAGTGGTCTAGGCAGGCACTGCATTTGCAGTGTAGCCTAGGTGAGCCTTGAAACTGAGATCCTCCTGCCTCAGACCCCCAAGTTGCTAGGATTGCAGACATATGCCACTGTGACTGGGACTCAACAATGTCCATTTGTAGTGTTGCGTTCTAGCTACATGAGACCAATATAACAAAGATGTTTGCAATATTCACTGTGGAGACTGGAGGAACAGGTGGGCAATTAAGAGAGCTTACTACTCTTGCAGAGGACCTGGGCTTGGGTCCCAGCACCCACATGACCGCTCATAGCCATCTGTAACTCCAGTTCTAGTGCCAGGGGGACTGTGATGGCAATATCTTGTCACCTTGGCTACATCTGGAATTAACTAAAACCCAAGTGGCTAGGTATACCCATTTTCTTAATTTTTTCTTAATTAAATCATTTTAAGTGGGAAGACACACTTTTAATCCAAATCTTGTGTGAAGTGGGAAGATCCATCTTTAACCTGGGCCACACCTTCTGCTGGAATCCAGCATAAAGGACATGGAAGAAGGAAGCTTTCTCTTCACCTGCTTGCTCTTGCTCTCACTGGCAAGTCCATTCTTGCATTGGCATTAGAGCCAGCATATATTAGAGATTCCAGCATATATTGAAGGCCAAGCGAGACATCCAGTCTTGTGGGCTGAAAACTACTGAATTCTTGGACCTTCTGTTGTTGGACTAGCTAGCTGGACTACAGCCTAAATGCCATCCTAATGAATCCTGGGCTTATATTTATTCTATTCCTCTAGAGAACCTTGACTAATACAGGGATCCAGTACCCTCTTTTGGCTTCCACAGACACCAGGCACATACACACACACACATACACAATGCACAGGCATAATTATAAGAAAAATAGAATAAAAATATTTTTTTAATATTAGGATTCTGAAACCAAAGTATCTCATGTTGATATCAGCTTGGGCTACATGCCAAAGCTTCATCTTCAAAACACAAACAACTCTGAGGATGCAATTCAGAGAACATGTGCTCTCTCTCTCTCTCTCTCTCTCTCTCTCTCTCTCTCTCTCTCACACACACACACACACACACACAGGTCTCAGGCTCTCTTTCATATCCCTACTACACCCAGTGAACTCAAGAGCTGAGGTTCTGTGTGAGCTGGAGGGTGATGGCTCTCTGTACTGGTGAACGTGGCTATAGTCTCCTGGGGGGTGTGGCTGGGGCGGGAGCCTGGGCTGTTCAGCTGCTCACTGACCTGGAGCACTCCTGCTTGTAGATGTCAATGATGTTCTCCACCAGGAGATTCCTCTGCAGGCCATACACCCCATGTCGGTCCATGATCACCTCATGTCGGCATGAGGGGCAGCGGAAACGGCCTCCAGACATGGACACTGAGCCACTGCGGTTGGTCCAGTAGGGATTTGCAGCCTGCAGACAGACAAGGCAAAGATGAGGCTGGAGTTTCTTCCCTCTCCAGTTTCCAGTCCTCCTCTCCCCAGTGACCCCCCCCCACACACACACACCGTCCAAAACAAAGGACACAGGCGCCTAGTCTTGACTTAGAACCAGCCCACCCACGTGGTGGAGTTTCTTGGTTGAAGCCTTTAAATAGTATCAGCCAACATGAATTCAAGTCATGTGACTTTAGGCAAGCAACTCTCTGTATGCCTCAGTTTACCGCTGATATCACAGGCCTTAGAATTAGCACCAGCTCCGAGGACTGTTGAAGAAAACTGTGAAAGAATAGATTTTGGTTTGTCGGTTTTGTTTTTGAGCTAGGGTTAGGTAACCAGACTGGCTTCAGACTCTCAGCAATCCTCCTGCCCCGGCTTCCTGAACGCTGGAATTATTGGTATACACAACTCTGTCTGACTTTGAAGGCCATTTTCTGTAGTGACTAGGGACCCTTGAATCCACCTTTCAGGGCAGTCACCACAACTATTCGCTTTCCCACCTCAGGAAGATGGCGTCCCTTCTGGCCTCGTATAGGAGCAAACAGCCTCTGAGGATGCTGCAGTGTCTGTGCCTCTTGCCACCCTCGTTCCAACACTCTATGCCTCCTGCCATGCTGGAGCTGGCTCCTGTCTGGGGCCTGACCCCCTCCTCCCCCCCCCCCCCCCGTCATCACTAATGCATTTGACTCTAGAGACTCAACAGTGAGCCGGCCAGGCAGAGCTGTCCAGGCAGAGCTGGAGCTGTGGGCAGGGTGAAGAAGGACTGGGGTAGCTCCTCCTTCCCCTTATCCGCCCCCAACCCCCAACCCCACCCCTCCACCCCTACACAATCTCTACCCCTTCCCAGGGGTCTCTGCTTGGCTTCACATTGGAGCTAGTGGTCACGAGTGACCTAGTCTGAGAGGGAGGGGAATCTGAGAAGCCGTCCTGGGGGAGTGGTGGGGCGCTGCTTCCATGTCTGGGCCGAGCTCAGTGCTGACCTGAAAGATGTCGTTGGCACATTTCCGGCAAAGGTTGTGCTGGCAGGGCAGGATGACCACAGGCTTGGTAAACATCTCCAGGCAGATGGGGCAGATCAGCTGCTTCTCCAGGTTCTCCATGGCGTTTCCATCCGGAATCAAGCTAGATTTATAATCCATATTGCTTTGAGATGTGGCTGCCTGCCTCTCCCACCTCTGTCCCACGAAGCAGCTCTGCGGGGCTTGCCTTTGTCTCCCACACCTCTCCGATCCTCTTTGTCTTCTCCGGGCGTCTGACTTCTGTCTTGGGCTGAGGCCCCTCTGATATTTATAACTGTACCTCTGGTCACATGAGGCCCAGGAGGGGACCAGCTGAGCATTCCTATGCCAAGCTGCTGCTGGCTGGGCTTGAGTTTCCTCCAGGCCCCAAAGATTTGGCCCTCTCAGATCACATGCAGGGATGAGCAATCACTGTTCCCCTGGGATGGGGGTCGTAAACAAGAACAGATCGTCCAGGGCCATGTTCAGGGGAGGGCCAGCTACCCTAGTTTCCTGCACAAGTTGGTCTCCACCCCGCACTCCACCCCCTCCTGCTTCCCCCCCCCCCCCAGTCAGGTGAAAGTGAGGGAGTAGGAGCTGGAGGAAGGCTGCCAGGCATTCAAAGGATGGACAGTCGAGCTCCTTACCAACCTAAATCAGTTCCCCTTCTGGATCCTTGAGCAGCTCCAAGATAAGGGCTTGGGCAGCCCCTCGGTGTGCCCTTTCCCTTGCCTCAGACTCCAGCCAAGCATTTTGATGGTTCTGGGAAGCTCACCCTGACATCCCTCAGCCATTTACTGTACTTCATGCTAAAGGGACTTTCTTGGGCCTAGAGAGATGGCTCAGAGGTTAAGAGTACTGGCTGTTCTTCCAGAGGTCCTGAGTTCAATTCCCAGCACCACATGGTGGCTCACATCATCTGGATTGGGTTTTGACACCCATTATAAAGACATACATTCAGATAGAGCACTTAAATACATTAAAACTTTTTTATAAAAGGGGGTCTTTCTTGAGAGCTGGTGGGGTGGCTCAGTGGTTAGGTGCCTGATGACAACCTGCATTCACATGCTCACTTGCTTTCCCTGCACGGAGATGCTCATAGCTCAGAAAGAAGACAAATGTGAGATCCCCTGCTCTGCCTCTGAATCTGTGCCCTTATACTCGGGAGTCTGCCGGAGGCTCCCCTGGGCTTTGCATATATGTTCATTCTTGGGCCCCAGGAGAACCAGAGACTGTGGAACATGTGGATCTCTTGAGACAACAGTGATCAGAGCCCTGAGCTGAGATCTAGTGATCTGCAGGTCTATATTCCCAGCTACTCAGGAGGCTGAGGCAGGAGGATTAAAAGTTCACGACCATCCTGGGCTATATGGTGATGTCATGTCTCAGAATAAAAGGAAAAACAGAAGCCAGGTGGTGGAGGCTTTTTAATCTCAGCACTTGGGAGGCAGAGGCAGGTGGATCTCTGTGAGTTTGAGGCCAGCTTGGTCTACGGCAAGTTCCAGGACAGCCAGGGTTGCTACACACTGTCTTGAAAAACAAAAACAAAAGCAACAACAAAAAAAGCAGGGGCTAGAGAGACAGCTCAACAATTAAGAGCACTGGATACTCTTTCAGGGGATCCAGGTTCAAATCCCAGGGCCCACATGGCTGCTCACAGTTCCAAGGAGTCTGCCCTCTTTCTGGATGCACATGGTATACACACATACATGCAAGCAAAACACCCATACACAGAATAAAAATACTTTTAAAGGTAAAAGGAGAGTGGGGATGACTTAATGGTAGAGCATTTGTCTAGCATGTGTGATGAGGACTTATGTTCCATTCTCCATAAATAGCCCCTTCAAAAAAAAAAACCTTAGGGGGTCCCAAGAGCAGAGGGGCCAGCCTCAGGAAAGGGCAGGTGAGGAGGAAGAGGGACCAGTCCCAACTGGATTACACAGGACAGAAATCCAGACCTAGTGACTCAGGCAGGAGGACTACTGTGAGTTCAGGCCAGCCGGGGCTGCAGTGTGAACACAAGTCAGTTTTTTCAGACGTAGTGGTTCTGCTCAACCCCAAATCCTGGTGACTAGTATTTGCTGAGCCCCTGCTACATGTCAGGCACGGTGCTAAGGACTCACACCCCTTGCTGCATTTTGTCACCTGAACAATCTACAGTGCAAGAACCATTACATCCCCATTAAACCAACAGGCAGGTCAGGCACAGAGAGGCAAAGTAACCTGCGTGAAGTCACACAGCCAGCCAGTGGCTCTGAGACACAGTCCAGTGTGAGCTTCTGGCATCTATGGAGGTGTGTTTGGGATAAGTCGATACTCCGGGGCCATCTAAGCGGGAGAAGATGAGTACTGAGAAGAGGTATTCGTCCCAGTTCACAGGACCTTGGTTTATTCAGGCATGAGCAGCCTGGTGCTCCAAGAAAGCGGTTCCTTCTCCTGTCACGGGATAATCACAAGAGGTTTAAGCCTATGCTGGTAATCTCATTCCTTTCTGTCTAATGGTGCAGGTATTGCCAATGTCAGTGACAATAACATTCACTAACACTAAGAACTTTCTCCAGGATAAAAACATGAGTGCAAGAAGAAAGTTGCATTTTTATTTGGAATAGGACCATGAGAAAGTGGGCAGTTATTTTACAGCTATGAGGGGACAGTGTGACAAAGAAGCCAGCACTCTGAGGAATGCTGAGGGGAGCTATAAAAAGGTCCCTGGTGCCAACTGGGACATCCTGACTCTTGCCTACTTGAGAGGTGTGATATGGCTGATGGCTCAGTGGTTAAGAGCACTGGCTGTCCTTTCAGAGGACCTGGGTTTGGTTCCCAGCACCTACATGGTGGCTCACAACCATCCGTAACACCAGGCCCAAGGGAACTTATGCCTTCTTTTGGTTCTGTGGGCACAGGTGTGGCGCACCGAATACAGACAGGCAAACCATATGCATAAAAACTTCAATTTTAGAAATAAGATAAATATTTTTTAAAAAAGAAATTCAAGGTCATCCTCAGCTACACAGTGAGTCCAAGGCTAACATGGGTATATTAGATCCTATCTCACAAAGCAAAACACAAAAAGGGGGCCCGGTAGAAGTGGTGGCAATGGCCTGCGCCTTTAATGGCAGCCATCGGGAGGCAGAGGCAAGGGGATCTCTGTGAGTTTGAGACTAGCCTGGTCTACATAGTGAACCCCAGGCTAACCAGAGATAAGCCTCTATTTCAAAACAAACAAACAAGAAGATACTTAAGAGCCAATGGCAGGGCTCTGGCACAAGAAATCACTGGACTTGTGGACCAAGACCTGAGCTATGAAAGGAGAGAGCTGATTCCCAGAGATTGTGACTTAACAGAAATTTATATTTTAAGAAGATACTTAAAGCTAAGATAGTTCAGACAATGATGAGAAAGTAGAGATAGGCCTGAGTCTGACAGTGGGAATTTCAGTTTTGAGATGCAGGCTGGGAGAGGAAAAAGACAGAGGGAACATTCTGGGGCTGAGGTGGCAGGTGGCAAGAGAGGGTCTAGATTAGCCCCTGTGGCGAACAAGGAAGGGCCTTGCTGCTGTCTGTGTCCTGGACATGCTTGTCACCTGGGAGGAGCCAGGCAGGTTCCTGTTGACTTTCTCCAGCCACACTGGGCAGGCCAGGTGCAGAGCCCCAGCAAATGGGCAGTGGGATGGCCTCCAGCGTGGACACGTGTAAGGCCAGCGATGTTGAAAGTCAAGGGGTGAGGTGAGGAAATTCTCATGTGGGCTGCACTGGGCAGCAAAACATGTCTGGTCATTCGATCCTCACATCTGTCCTTCAGGAGATCTGTGTTTTTCCTCTCCCAGCCGGAAGTGAGGCTCTGAGAGTTAGCTGACGTGGCCAAAGGCACATAGCTACAAATGGCAGAGCCAGGCCCTGGTTCACGTTCAAGGTAGCCTGACTCTCAAACCTGTGCTCCTCTATTAGAGCAGGTATTGAGTGCTTATTATGGGCTGGCCGTTGTGCTGAGACTTTTCCACACGTCCCGTCATTCAGCCTTCAGAGTGACTCGGTGGGGCAGAGGGCAGCACCTTCTCTGCCTCCCGCTCATCTGTCGAGGCTCAGGGACATGCAGTGTCATGGCCAAGCTCCACCAGGAGTAAGTAACAGAGCCAGTGGCATCGCCATGAAATTATAATCCAACACCACTACCAGGCATTAGAACAAACTAGAGAGCCACGGGACTGGCAGGTGAAGAGATCAATATGAATTATCTGTGGTGAGTTGGGCCCAGGACTGTTTTTAAGGGCAGACAGAGTCTCACAATGTAGCCTTTGCTGGCCTAGATCTCTTCTGTAGATCAGGCTGGTCTCAAACTCACAGAGATCCGCCTGTCTCTGCCTCTCAAGTGCTGGTATTAGAGGCATGTGCCACCATAGCTGATGCAAGCTTTTGTTTGTTTTGTTTTTAAATGCTGGATCTCATGTAGATAGGGAATTTGGCAGACTGGTGGTAAAGATGTGATCTGTCTGCCTCTACCCCCCAAGTCCTGAGATTACAGGCACAGGATTCAATGTCTGGCTTATTTTTTCTTTAATGAAGATTTCAAACATATGAACGTAGGAAGAACAATTAAATAAGCTCATGTAATTAAGCCCAGCTTCAATTAATTCATTGGTTTGTGTATGTGTGTGTGTGTGCATATATGTGTATGTGCATGTGTATGTATTACTGGAGAATGAACATAAGACCTTGTGCATGCTAAACATGCACACTCTACCACCAAGCTGTACCGCAACCTTCTCTGTTTTAAAAAATTATTTGTCAGGACTGGAGAGATGGCTCAGCTGTTAAGAGCATTGATTACTTTACCAGAGGTCCTGACTTCAATTCCCAGCACCCACATGGCGCTTACAGCTGTCTGTAACTCCACTTCCAGGGGACCCAACACCCTCACCCAGATGTACATGCAGACAACATGCCAATGTATATAAAATTAAAACAAAAAAGGAGCACTGTTTGCCCTTCCAGAGGAGCCAGGTTCAATTCCCAGCACCCATGTGAAAGTTCACAACTGTAACTCAAGTTCCAAGGGCTCTAATATCCTCACACCAAGGCATATCAAAATAGAATTAAATAAATTATTAAAAATGGTTTGCTGTTGCTGGGCATTGGTGGTGCATGCCTTTAATCCTAGCACTCGGGAGGCAGAGGCAGGC